CCTAATCACTTTCGAACCCAATACAAATGCTTTGTTTATGGAAAATTTACAGGGACTGTTCGTGTCTAAGGTGGTCCAATATAATCAAAGATAATGGGTGAGTGGAGACTTGTGTCCATATGTGCCAGATTAGTTTATTGTGTGTCAGTCTCAATCCGCAAAGAGCAGTAACTTATATCCATTGCGAGCAGTGGAGATTAGTGGTGTATCATACGAAACTTTTCGCGCTTCTAATTTTATTTGAGTGACGATTTGTTGCCTTTTCTTGAGAGCTTGAGGGGAAAGGCTCCCAGGATTAATTGTGTACACCAACATGGGTTGTGGTGCAGTGCCCTGGGTATGGAGAAAATCTTGTTAGGAGCGCCATCCTCAAATGAAGAAATTTTAAGCAGTATGAACTGAAATACACACACATCATTTAATCAGTAATAACAACATAAAAAAATTACGCAAACAAATCTCACTCCTCAAAATCTCCCCTGTTTCTTATGCATTTTACATTGCATTTACAGTTTTCTCTAACCATTTGCGTCCAGAAATTCCGATTTCTCAATACAGAAAGTTCAATAATTGTGTCGTCTCTTGCTTTCCGTCTTGGTATCCAGAGTAAAAAGAACAACATTGTAGCATCCTAGGCATATACCACATCAACAAAACGCAAGAAAGATATTGATTGTTGGAATAAAAAGAAGTGACATTAGACCCAAATGAGGCATTTTAAAGTCGAGGGAGCCTAGGACCCAAAGTAAACAATACAAGCTATTACATACATAGTTCAATAGCTTTCACTTCTTGACTTGAACAAAGAGACCTTCGAAACTTTTCACTTCCCAAATGAGCACTGAGCCTAGTCAAAATCCTAACAATGAAAAATAATATCTTTCCGTATGATCTATGACCATAATGTCAATATCTCTCTTGTGTGTTACTTAAACAACTTTTTTATCATGTACCTTTGGGTTCCATCAGAGTTGTACGTCCCATTTGCAGCAAGTCTGATGATAAGCACAACATAATTTATATTCTGAAAAGAATATTAAACGTCATTAATATCAAAGATATACATCATTCTAAACTTAACGTTTACAGTCAGAGACAAAACTGCGAAACTATGTTTATTCACTTACACTTTGCTGTCAGACCACATTCTAGCAACGGTCTATTCAATAGAGAATTGCAGCAGAACTTTCCTGGTACAAACTGAGCTAGAGCGGTAACAGCTTACATATACTGTTACCAAAATCCTGACAAAGAAAAAAAAATTGCTAAGTTGATATCCAATAATCATTAATAAAAACTTGAATTGTGCTGATGCTTTTAGGTAGTAAAGTTATTGGGAGGCAAACTTTTATATATTTTTGATAGATAGGAAACAAACCTTGTGTATTGTACACCTTTGAATTCAATAGTGAACATGTGCATAACTCTAAACTCACTGAAAACGGAAAGAACAAGATTTTGTGGAGCAGATTATTTTAATTCTTATGTATACTAGATTTCATTTTACAGTGTTCCCACACGAATAAAAAGATTTTATTCACCTTTATTTATTTTGGTTATCTAAAATTAAATTTATCTCGAACTTGAGATGATTTTTCGGCTTCATAGTGGTAATAGACACTCCGTACTGCTCAACAAGATCTTTAAAAAGGGAAAGCAAAGGGAAGTAAACAAAAATAGAAAGCTTCTGAGGACAAAGAAAAACTTACATTTGTGAGAGCACCATTCGCTTTAATCATTAAATGTATTCTCCATCGACTTCTATGGTGGAGATATTTCAGTCTACAAGATTTGAGAGAGAACACATGTTAATAGACAAGAAAAGTGAGTCGTATAGCCAACTAAGATGAAGAGTAAGATTTGTCACGAGATCATAAATGAATTGCTATAAACATCCTTCTGATATATATTAAACAACCAACTTTCTGGAGCAAATTATCTCAATTCCTACCTATACTAGACTAGTTCTGGAAACGTGCGTTGCACGATTGTCTTCTATTATGATCTAAAATTTATATAAGTCTAATATACATGTCGATATAAATATTTATCACATTATATTTTTATAAATATGATAAATCTTATATTGATTAATATGTTTCTATATAAAGCTTACTTTTGCATCCAAAAATAAATGAAAAGAAGGATTTCAAATATAATCTTCTAGACTAAAATATCTAAATATATGTTTCTCTATACAAATACAAGGGTGACAACTAATTCTTTTCATTTAACTTTTAGTTATTTGTTTTGGAAAATAAGATATGTTGAATTATGTAACACTAATTAAAATAATATAGCATCTGACGATATATGACATATCAAAGAACTCTTGCTGTAAATTTAAGAAGTGCACCTAAACATTACTAACGTGGATGCAAGAAAAAATTAGGTAATCAACATACTTAGATATGACCATTATTATCTATAATAATTTTCTTCCAAAGATTGTAGCTAGCTAGGTATGATATGAAACAGGAAAAACTAAGCTCTAATAAAATAAGGGGAATAAATTTAATGAAAGAATGATAAATGTAGCACCTTTTCGATGATCAACTTACATAACATAATTAAGTGAAATGACAAAGAAAGGAAGATGAGAGTTTCCATCTCACATACCCAAAGTATGTAAATCAGTGAAATCTTGTTGAATTCCTTCAATAATTGCCTAAAAATTAAATATTAAAAGAGAAGTTTTCAAAACATGAAAATGTAGTAGTTACTTATTATGCTTGTTAGAAGGCCATCTTTATAAAAAGATGAATTTCAACCTCCGCAAAGATTTTAAACATCCGTTCCCATCACATTGCAAGCTCCATATGAAGTTTTAGAATGTACACGTACTTTTTTCTCCTGTAAAAGAAATAAAAGATTATTGTTGGAGCAATAAGTGAACATTTCTCATCATTAATATTGTGCAACTCTTCATTCACCTTCTTTAATATTATTATTATAGCAATAAGTGAATGTTCATAGGTAATGGGAGAGTAATCTAGATTAGGAAGAAAATCAAAAGCCAAAAATGGATAAAATTAACAAGCAGGTATATACTGATTAGCATTAGTATAATAATATAATAGTATGATATAATTATTATTTAATATTTAATTTATTAATAGCTTATAACATTTTAATTTAATGTAGGGGTAAAACGATAATCTAACTTTTTCCTAATATTCTTCTAATTTATAGTAGGGGTAAAATCGTAAATCAACTTTTAACTTTTTTGTTCCCACTTATAGTAATACTAGTTTCCGTGCACGCGCGTTGCGCGTGTTTCCCATATTAATGATATAGTTCCCAATTTTTTAACTTGGTAGTTCCCACTTTTATAGTAAAATACTACTACAAGATATCATTTTATAACTCCCTCCAAATACACAAATAACGTCGTATTAATTATAAGAATAAATCAATTAATGAAAATTCTAAAATCAAGTCTTCCAAAGAAACCAACTTCCTCCTTTTCATAGCTCATGAATTTCTGCTAGCTGCACTCATCCAATGAATGTTGAATGTTACATGTAAATTGATATGACAATTATTCAATTCCAACATGTATCAACTCTACATGTTTCTTCATCTCCCATTTTCTTTATATCATGCAAAAGGAAAAATTTAAAGGAATAGAAAGAAAATGAGAAGGAAGGCCAGATTTTTTTTACTCAACTAAAGAAACAAAACTGGAAGGAAATGGAAATCATTTGTTACCTTTATATAGTGTTTTTTTTTTTATGTTCTTTGAAATTCCTTTTAACATAATATGTATTTATTAACCTACACTTAAATACTTAATGAACTATTCAAATTCTACTGATTGTTATATTAACAAAGATTGATTACTAATTTAGAAGTGTTAGAATTTGATAAGTCAAGTTAAAGAAAATGAAAAGACAAATTATAGGAATTGTAAAAGTTAGGTAAAGTAATACATGATGTGTTAATTTAAAGCAATTAATCATGTATTATGTGAATTCCTTGGATACG